CTGAATCAGTAGTTTTGTGATGACTAATGGATTCTGCTGGTTTCAGGTCAGTCTACCAAAGCTTGTGAGCTGTTCTTAAAGAACCGCGCAGCAGCGGTCCAGACGGCCATACGACAGCTCCGCATCGAGGGAGCCACGCTTCTGTACATCCACAAGCTCTGCAACATTTTCTTCACCAGCTTGTTGGAGACCGCCAAGGAGTTTGAGATGGACTTTGCAGGGAACACGGGCTGCTACTCAGCCTTCGTGGTCTGGTCCAGGTCCGCCATGAACATGTTTGTGGACGCCTTCAGCAAACAGGTCAGCTAAGAGACGAGTAAAATACGATTGTTTCAGAAAGATTTATTTCTCTCTCTTCCTGTGCAGAATAGTGCTTCATACGGTTTAAAAAAATTATTTCCCAGGTGTTTGACAGTAAGGAGAGCCTGTCCACAGCAGCAGAATGCGTCAAAGTGGCCAAAGAGCACTGCCAGCAGCTGACCGAGATCGGCCTGGACCTGACCTTCACTCTGCAGTCACTCCTGGTCAAAGACATCAGGGCGGCCCTGCAGAGCTACAAGGATATCATCATCGAAGCCACCAAGCACAGGAACTCTGAGGAGATGTGGAGGAGGATGAACCTGATGACCCCTGAGGCTTTGGCCAAACTCAAGGTGGAGCCGACTGTCCTTTTCCTCTGTTGTGTTTTTTCATTCTTATCGTTTGTAGAACTATTTGGATATAAAGTTAAAACAATATTTTTGGACTTCTTCACTTTTACATCTTTTTAAAGGTAAAAGTTAACCAAAAACATATATGTATATGAAAATCTTCAATAGAAAATCCTTCGTGTTAGAACTACCGTACTGAGCTTGAATGTTAATTCACTGCTTAAAATTTAGATTCAGTAGCAAAATATAAGACCTTTTTTTTATTATTTCAGATTTCAGAAAATAAACCAAATCAAATTGAGTTTAAAAGGCTGGATCATCATTTTTAATGATCAGATTTCATGAGAAGCAATATTTATGAAAGATTACACAGTTTATATTTCTTTAAATTTGATTTTCTCTGTAATAAAACAACATGCATGAATAATGGTCTGACCAAATCAATAGAAAACCAGGCAGGAGATGGTAAAGTGCAAAACTAAGTTAAAAAACAACAATATTAGGGGAATACTAAGACATGTATAGTTTTAAAATAACAAGAGCAATTTCATAATGTTTGTGTGCAAGGATAAAGTTTTAATAATACAGTGTAAAATAAGCTTTATCCAAACTCCTAACCAGACTGTTTCCCCTGGATAAAAACGTCCTGCTAAAGCTGAAGCCAATCACATCAATCAGATCTTAAAAAAACTATCAAAGTTTCTTATTAAACGTACATTTTCTTGCTTTATTCTAGTAATATTACAGCTATATATTCATTGCATTATGGATACTTAATCGTAGAAACTAGACCTTGTAATCTTTCATTATAATTTGTTACTTTAATTATTAATAGACGGGACCTATGAAACAGTCAGCAAGGGCTCCACCGACAGGCAGCACTGATCAGTCTTTTGTTCCTCAAGACATTTATATTGGATGTTATTATTATGATGATTCTTATTGTGATTGAATAGAAACTAAACTGACTCACCCACCCCGATGACGGACCCATGAAATAAACTTTTCAAGAAACAAATTCTTTCTAAAACTTCTATGTTGAACACATTTTTAATTTTAGAGAAAAATATGCATTTAGATATGAATGTATTTATGTATGTTGCTTCCTATTTTTAATTTTTATGGGTCTTAAAACTTGGTGGATGCAGCCCTGACTGTTCTGTGGTTTATTACAAAATTTTAATATAATGGTTGTTTGGACGCCGTCTTGTTGGTGCAAAGTTAAACTTCGACCGTCAAGTTTTGTTATTTGATTTTTTTCATGCATTCAGCCACAGAAAAGGCCAGAGTTTGTATTTTTTTCTCACTGGCTGTTGGTAACATCTTGCTTCCTTACAAATAAAACTCAATCTTTGTTAAATTATTTATGTATAAATAAA